GGATTTTTAAAAGTTACAGTAACTTGTAACTTCCGCCCGGGGGTCCCAAACGATTCCGACCACGTTCGTTCTCCCGGTTGCATTTTGGATCTCTCTTCCTCCTCCCTAGAAGTCCTGACATCCTATACCGTCTTTGTTTCTACTTCATTCAGGACCCGTCTCGTCCTACTCGTCTCACAATGAGTGCCACCAAGGCGGAGTCTCAAAAAATATTCGAGAAACTCAAACTAAAGCCCGCAAACAAGGTGCGCGCAACCCCTCACCCACCGGTCTAGAAATTGGCCGAGTTCGCTGACTTCAACCTCATAGTTATGTTTTGATTGCGGCTCCAAGAACCCTACATGGTCGTCGGTGCCGTTCGGTATCTACCTGTGTCTCGACTGCTCGGCCCACCACCGTAATCTGGGTGTCCACATTTCCTTCGTTCGTTCCACAAACCTCGACCGTATGCACCACCGTCTACCCTGGATAGGTCTTTGGCTTGGCACTAATGGATGCTCACAGAATGGCAATGGGAGCAACTTCGGCTTATGAAGGTCGGTGGAAATGAGTCCGCCACCAAGTATTTCCAGTCGCATGGAGGTTCCGCTGCCCTGGCTAGCAAGGACACTAAGGTGAAGTATACATGCAATGCTGCCGTGAAGTACAAGGAAGAATTGAAGAGGCGGGCTGCGCAGGACGCCGAGCAGTAAGTACCATATTGTCTATGCATATCACTTTACCGCTAGATGCTTACTCTGCTTTCCCTCACAGATACCCTGAAGAGGTTGTGATCACGGACGTTCCCGCTGGCACCCCGTCCAACGGCTCTAGTACGCCTGCCGGCGATGCTGAGGATGACTTCTTCTCTTCCTGGGATAAGCCCTCGATCAAGCGCCCAAGCAACCCTCCCTCACGCACAGGAACCCCCCCGGTGGTCAGCCGCACTGCGTCTCCATTCTTGAACGCAGGCGCAAATGGCTCGCGTTCCAAGTCTCCTCTTTCGGGATCCGAAAAGGAAAGCTCTCCTGCTCCCGCTGCTATCAGGGCCAGCACTACTGTCCGGAAGACTACGACGGCTAGTACTGCAAAGAAAGGCAGTGTGCTAGGTGCCAAGAAGGCCCCCAAGCTGGGAGCTAAGAAGATCGGCGCAGCTGAGGCCATCGATTTCGAAGAAGCAGAAAGGAAGGCCAAGGAGGAAGCCGAGCGTATTGAGAAGCTTGGATATGATCCCGAGGCTGAAAAGGCTGAGGCCGATGCCAAGGCTAAGAGTACGACTACAGGAGCTACACCTCTTGCCGCCCCCACGCCGATCAACCCCAGCGCCTCCAGAAAGTCCCACGAGCGTAACTCTAGCGATGTAGAGCGTTTGGGTATGGGTATCGGACGCCTAGGATTTGGCCAGACCGTTGGTTCGAAGCCTGCTGCTCCGAAAAAGCTAGGCTTCGGCTCTGTCGCTCCTGCTCGGTCAGCTGCTGAAGGCGAGTTCACTATTACCATGTTGAAATTAACTGCAAATGCTAATAAATCATACAGAGGAGGAACTCAACCAGACCAAGTCCAGGTTTGGTGCCCAGAAGGGTATCTCGTCCGATGAGTTCTTTGGGCGTGATAGATTCGATCCCTCAGCCCAGGCCGAGGCTAAGGAGCGCCTCCGCCAATTCGATGGTGCCACCTCTATTTCCAGCAACTCCTACTTCGGCCGCCCCGAAGACGATCTCCCCGCCGGAGACGACGGATACGGAGACTTGGAAACTGCGGCCAAGGACTTTGTTCGTCGTTTTGGCATGACAGCCGGAGACGATCTCGAGAACCTTACACAACTCGTCGGAGACAGTGCCGTCAAACTGCAGGGTTAGTTATCCCGTCTCCTCTGCTCATTTACCTCCTACTGACAATGCTGTCTAGGCGCCATACGTAACTACATGAACAGCTAAACGGATACAACCAATTGATCAATACCGCGGCAACCTTTTCAATCTCCACCTTCGGACACCATTACTTTGCCATGATTAACCAGTTCATTGCCTATGACTTTGGTGGCGTTTTGTCCTATCCCTTTAGAAAGATATCCTCGCGAACTCAACCCCGGCCTAATTTCACCCCTGCGGACTGCGAGCACTCTAGCCGGGAAAACGTTCGGCTTGTCATAGTCTGATTCGCGGAGTGGTTGAGGTCGGCTTCTTCTTTGTCAACTGCTCGTGATTCTGACTTAGTCGAAAATCCTTTAAATTGGCATCTTCATTGAATATCATCTTTGATTTGCTATGGTTCCTGTATATCCTTTTTCTTTTTTTCTCTTCTCTTAGGTAGTGTTAGGCGTTTTTTGTCAATTAAAACCATATATTTTATACTTTAGAAAGAATCTACCTTGTAGCAACCATGGATAACTTAAACCTAGGCATCTACTGCAGGTTAAGAACAAAAATTGAAGATCACTAGATCTAATACAAACCTTAGCCCTAACAACAGACTAGGTCATTCATAAAATTCATCCTCAAGAAAATTTTGAAAAGTCATTTATATCATACAAGTTGATGATGATCCCACTATCCTACAAGATCTCGATATTGTTGAAAATATACAAGTGTCACACACGTACCTTAACCATTCAACACCCACGCACCCACACAACAAGCCCCCTACTCATCCACCCGGTAAATAGCATCCGCAACCTTAGCCACCTGCCACATCTCCTTAACATCGTGGACACGAACAATATCCGCGCCACCAGCAACACTAGCTGTAACAGTAGCAGCCGTGCCCCAATTTCGCTCACTAGCCTTCTCAACACCAGTAAGCCTACCAATGAACCTCTTCCGACTAGGACCCATCAGCCAAGGGAAATACTCTAGTCCCTGGACACCCGTGCGGAGTTTCTGCAAATCACGAAGAATAGTCAGATCGTGGGGCTGATTCTTCGCGAACCCAAGCCCGGGGTCGAGGATCATTCGCCAACGACGGATACCGGCTGCTTCGGCGGCGGAGATGCGCTCGAGGAGTTCGGCGCCCACGTCCTGGATTACGCCGTTGGGGTAGTCCGTTAGCTGGGTCATTGTTGATGGGGTGCCGCGCATGTGCATGAGGATGACGGATTTGCCGGTGCGGGCCATTGTTGGGAGCATGTCTGGGTCGAGGAGGCCGGCGGAGACGTCGTTGATGATGTCTGCGCCGGCGGCGCAGGCTTCCTCGGCGACGCGAGCGCGGTATGTGTCGATGCTGATGGCGATATTTGCAGCTTCTGGGATGGAGGTGCGGATGTGTCGGATTGCTGGGATAACGCGGGCGAGTTCTTCGGCTTCACCGACGGGGGCAGAGCCTGGGCGGGTGCTTTCGCCGCCGATGTCGATGATTGTTGCGCCTGAGGCGATGAAGGTGCGGACAGTGTTGGTTAGGGTTGTTAGGTCTGTTGGGGAGTGTTTCCCGCCGTCGGAGAAGGAGTCGGGGGTTAGGTTTAGGATGGCCATTATGTGGGTTGGGCGGTTGGGGTTGGTGGCATGGAGTGGGGGGAAGTTCTTGGATATGTAGGTTGTGGCATGGGGGGTTGGGTCTGGTGGGGGGAGGGATTTGAGATGGGAGAGGTAGGTTGTGCCGTGGCCTGGGAATGGAGGTCGTTCGTGAGGGATGAGTCTGGTGGGTGGTTGTTAGGTCTCTGGTTTGTGGGAGGGGGTGTCTTGTACGGGGCTTACTGGCAGAGAGGTCGTAGTACGAAATCCCGTTCGAGCATTAGCCGGTGAGGGATGTTGAGGCGGTCGTTGGAGAAGATCTGTTCGTCGTAGAGGAGGATATCAAGATCGATAGAGCGGGGGCCCTTGTCGATCAACTTCTTCCTTCCCAGTCCGCTCTCAATCGATTGGATGGTATCGAGTAGCTCCATAGGTCCTAAGCTGGTTTCCACCTACCCGTTGGAGGTCAGAAGAGCTTGTACAGTACAAAGTTACACTAGATGGTTACTGACCTCGCAAACTCCATTCATGAACGGATCTTGATCGAGGACGTACATAGGAGCCGTCTCGAACAGGGAACTTGTTCGCTTGACTCTGATATTGGCTCTCTCCATTTCGGAGCATGCCTTCTCAATCATCTCAACCCGCTCTCCGACATTGCTTCCAAGGGCTACAAAAGCCCGGTGAAGTGGAGGGTTACAGGGATTCATTCCGGTATTGAATGAATTCAATGAGCTAGTGGAAACGCCCCTCGTAGATGCGGACAATCTTAGAGACCCATGGCTGGAACTGCTCACATTAGACTGGGACAACGCCCAGCTATTACGTCGTCCAGACACTCCGAGGTCTGATCCACATGGTGTTAGTTTCCGTGGCTACATGAAAGCGTTATGGCACAATGCGATGTTCGGTTGGAAACATCTTTCAATGGTACTTTAGACGAACCGACGGCCGGATTTGATCGCAGTGAATACTTAAAATTGAAATTGGAGTAACATACTAGTACCAGAGATAGACAGATTTCTACCAGTATGTTAGACGAGAGGGTTTATCATGCAATTGTCAAAGAAAACCTGCCTCGTTCTTGGGCCCGCGTAGAATCTCCTATAAGCCGGCACACAGACCTTGCTGTGTCGCGGGGTTGGAAACAAGCCTAAATTGAAAGAAGGCCATTGTCCGCAACCAGGAATGGTTGAGGTTAGGGATGTAGCATTGGCATGCCAATTCCTAATTGACATTGGCCTCATACTTCCTGAGAAATGAGCAGCCCTGGCGTCTGTCAGTTGATCTTCTTATGACTCGTCCAAAAAAAAAAGTTCGGGTCATACGTCATGCAACGGCTCGCATTGCTTTTCGGGAGCGGAATCAGCTGATGCACGACACCTGAGGCATTCAATAATGGTGACTAATAGACTTCTGAAACCCCGCCTGTGAATCGGCCAATAGGTTCGGCACTAAACCCAAAAAGCATTGGCAACTATGGGGAAATTAAGTTCATTCGGAGGTCCCGTGTTAAAGTTGCAACCGAGGCTGTCATGTTCATGCTTCCTCCTCGGTTCACCCCATCCTCTTCTTCTCCTATATTTAGGACTTATTTCTCCATACTCTCCACATGTCATCGTTCCTGATCATCTTCACTACATCTACCTTTTGATTCTCGGTCACTTTCTCTTCTAACGTCCCACCCTCAACCATGGCTTCTCCTCGTAAGCTCCCACCGCCTTTGTGCCCTTCCATCATATGATTGGAAGCTGTGACAATGCAACTGGATAGGATCCCTTGCTAACCACAGATTTCGACAGAGAAAATCCGTACTACCCTTACGGATCTGCTCAAGATCCAACACCCCATCCTGCTGGCAGGTATGAACGTGGCCGCCGGTCCTAAGTTGGCCGCAGCGGTCACCAACGCCGGTGGCCTCGGTGTCATCGGTGGTGTCGGCTACACCCCCGACATGCTTCGTGAACAGATTACAGAACTCAAGAGCTACTTGAATGACAAGAGTGCGCCTTTTGGTGTCGACCTTTTGCTTCCGCAGGTCGGAGGAAACGCTCGGAAGACCAAGTAGGCCTCCCTGTACCTGGGACACCTTGGGTGAGAGGCGAAAATGCTAACCAGCCTGTCCTCAGCTACGACTACACCAAGGGAAAGCTTGACGAGCTTGTCGACATCATCATTGAGAGCGGTGCACGCTTATTCGTTTCGGCCGTCGGTGTCCCTCCCAAGCACGTCGTGGAGAAGCTCCACGGTGCTGGCATCCTGTGCATGAACATGATCGGCCACCCCAAGCACGTTCAGAAGGCTCTTGATGTTGGTGTAGATATCATCTGCGCCCAGGGCGGTGAAGGTGGTGGTCACACTGGTGATGTTCCGACTACCGTTCTCATCCCTACCGTTGCCAAGCTGTGCCAAGGCAAGAAGAGCCCCTTGACTGGTCAGCCTGTACAGGTCGTCGCCGCAGGTGGTTTGTTCAATGGTAACTCGGTTGCCGCCGCTCTTATGCTTGGTGCCTCTGCTGTCTGGATTGGTACTCGCTTCATCCTGTCTGATGAGGCCGGTGCTCCTACTGCTCACCAGGAGGCCGTCCGCACTGCCGGATTCGAGGACAATGTCCGCACCATTATCTTCACTGTAGGTTTTGGGACATTCTTCGATGTGCGCATTCTCGCTAACCGGTCTATAGGGTCGTCCCCTTCGCGTTCGCAACAACGCCTACATCAAGAACTGGGAAGAGAACCGCCAGGAGGAGATCAAGCAATTGACCGCTAAGGGTATCATCCCTGTCGAGCACGACATGGAGAACTTGCCCGATGACGTTGACGATGAGACCCTGGACAATGCCCGTCCCTTCTTGATGGGCAAGGTCGCTGCCGTCGTCAATGAGAAGAAGTCTGCCAAGGCTATTGTTGATGAGCTTGTTAATGATGCCTCTGATCTGTTGCAGAAGGGCCACAAGATGCTTGCTAAACTGTAAATAATTTCATTGTTAATGGCGCACTCCGGGTATGAGGATGGTGCATATAAATGTTGATATTCATGACCATTCATACTGGTTAGCGTTCTCTATACCAATTTCCTCTTCAGCTTATTGAGTTCTCCAGCAGCCGGACTGGACCCACGGTTCAATTTGCAGCTGCCGATGAATCTTAGCAGCGGTGTTTGCAACATTGTGCGGCAGAAAAGTAAGGCCATAGACCACAGAAGACTACATACCAAGCCAAACAGTATTTAGCTTGGCCCAAGTGCCTTCCTACCAAGTAAAGCAATCTACAATCCAGAGATGCCCACATAAGAATCACCCAGAGACGGCAATGCATAATCCCGACCGAACCCAAGAATTATGCAATCGGCTCGGCAAGCCGTACCCGTGCAATTCTCCCTCTCCACCTAGACCCGACCATGAAACCAACCGAACATGAAATCGTTCCGTAAATATCAACAGGACGATGGGAAACCAGTGGCGAAGAGCCGCTGACTCATCGGAAGGGAGTTTTATCAATTCGCAATAGACCATGCTCTACATAACTTCAAATGGGTATCCTAGCGGTATTTGAACACAAGTAAGTACTATCTCATCATGATCTAGACCATGACAAATTAATGTACATATGATTTTCACAAGCAACGCATTTCACACATAAGCTGAGACGAAATTTGGCAGTAAGGACAAGAGCCGAGCTGCCGAGGTGCTAGTTGTGGAACATAATGTGGCGGGTTTTCTTTTTTGGTTGCGGGTGGGGATTATGGGTCAGGATTTGATCCACTTAAGGTTCGGGTTAGGGCTTGCGGATGTTGTATGGCAATAGGCGGTAGAATATTGTTATGTATATTCCGTAGTTTTAGATCAAGTTATAGGTTGAAGTGTAGCTTAGTCTGTCGGATTCCTGGGCTAGAAATACATAGATAAAGCAAGTCTTATCTCATGAGCTTGAAGATGAGAATAGTGGACACATTGAAACTAGTGTAATCTGGGCAGTGGTCTAAATATATGGTCAAAACGCCCGATGTAACATAACTGCTGCGTGTGGGAATTGCGATATAATGCCTAAAGATACAGTTAGAGTATAGATGCGCTCATAGGCTGCATGGTAAACTATTACTGGGACATGTAAGCTGGCTGGATAACGGGTCTATTTCTTTGATGGATCAGTAGTCTTAGGTCACGATAACACTATATTGACATGATAGTTTCCCACTGAGTCCGGAGCATATATACTGTATACAGCAGTAGAACCTCACCTTCAAAGTAAAACATAAGGATCCGCATCCAATCAGTATCGAGAACACATGATAATGAGGTCATCTTTGATTTTCTCCGACCCAAACATACGTATTTAGAGCCGCAGCTGCGCCAAGGACAACCCATAGCTTGTCTGGTTGCATGCCTTATCAGAGACGGCGATTGCCGAACTGTGAGTTGGGACTAGAGAGATCGTAGGTTTCCGCTGGCGCGGGGTAAGCATAAGATCTGGAGAAGGGATACGGAGGTGATCCCTGGACATGACCACTTATATAGTTAAGTTTATTATTATCATATACAGCGAGGTGGCGTTCATGTAGGAAGTGAGAGATCTAGCAGATAACACAGTCAAACACGTTGTAATTAAATATGAGATGGGTGTCTCTCTCGTGACTTTGGGCTATAGTGTCACGTCAAAATGAGTCTGTGATATTGAAGTAATATAGACAATCTATATCATGTCGTTAGGAGAGCCACCCTGGATAGGATAGTCATAAGGACTGTATCGGTGTTGTCCGATGCTCTCATGAAGATATTAAAAGCCATATCATCCGTGAGCAATCAAAGATAACTGAGATCGATAGGCAAAAGCTTGAATACGGGCAGGTGATATGGTCGTGGTACTAATCAGTGACTGAGATAATCAGGAACGGTGCCTATCAGCTGTGAAAGTCTTATCATTCACGTTGCCACCCTTGGTCAGGCCCCACATGGCTGGTCAAAATTTGTAGCCAATCACGGAAATTTAGAGGGTGCTTGGCCCTCCGAGAAAATTTTCTATCCGCCAATCAGAACGCCTATGAGAAAGCTTGTCGATCCATGATTCGTTGAAAAGACACGTTAGGGAGAGTAAACCTTAGGGTTAAGGCACAAGTGGATCCCCGAACGGCCTTCTCGAAACGAGTAAAAAAAGGCTTGACCTGGATTTGGGAAGACACGCGACAGTAAAAGCCAGCGGAAGTTACGCGGTCGCGGCAATTCTCGCTGGTTTGAGATCGAGTGGAGATGTGTGGGAAGAATTTGTCCTAGTCCTTCCGACCAAATATTTATTTCTAGCTCCCCCCATCCTCTGACGCAGAGGAAAAAAGAAAGAGAAAGGAAAGATGTGAACCACAGCTTGATTACTTCCGTTCCCCCTCCTTCTCCCTACCAACCCTACTTGGTCGGTCTTAGAGCTATCTAGCTCTCCGACCCTCTATATTCTCAAGTCTCCTCCTTCATTGGTGGGGATCTTCATCAATCACGAATTCGCCGTTGGAACAAACGGTTCTGTCGGACTCCCCGAATCTAGCACGATGTTTGGAAGAAAAGATCAAGACCTTGAAAAGGGTCCTCAGGTGGCGAAGACGACGTTGGACACCAGCAGCGATGGCGCCGTGCCCGGGGAGACCTTTGTATACGGCGATTCACTGTATGCTAAGCTCCAGCGACTCGCAGGAAAGATCAACATCGAGCAGCGTGGAATTGAACGGGTACCAGCAGAGGAGCAGACGGATACATCGTATTTCAATATTGGCAGCATGGTGTGTTCATGATTCCATTGCGTTAATTTTGTCTATGCCAGCTATTGTCTGGCATTCCAAGACCGCCTGTCCAACTGACCCAACACGCAGTGGTTGGCAGCCAACATGGTAGTCAGTTCCTTTGCCATTGGTGTCCTCGGAAAATCCCTCTTTGCTCTTGGCTTTGTGGATGCCATCTTGGTGAATCTCTTCTTCAACCTGTTGGGCATCATGACTGTGGGATTCTTTTCGTGCTTTGGCCCTCCTTTCGGCCTGCGACAAATGGTACTCTCAAGGTTCTGGTTCGGATACTGGGGAACGAAGTTCAGTGAGTATATTCAGTTTGTGGTGTTTTGTTCTAGTTAAACAGCCACTAATACCTGTCTAGTTGCCTGTCTCAACGTTTTGGCCTGTATTGGTTGGTCTGCAGCCAATGCAATCGTTGGTGCACAGCTCCTCCATGCGGTCAACACCGACGTTCCAGGATTTGCAGGTGTCTTAATTATCGCCTTCTGCACGTTTATTATCACTTTCGCCGGATATAAAGTCGTCCATATGTACGAGTACTGGAGTTGGGTGCCGACATTCATCGTCTTCATGATCGTCTTCGGCACTTTCGCCCACTCCGGAGATTTTGTGAACATCCCCATGGGCGTCGGGAAATCCGAACTCGGTAGCTGCCTCTCCTTTGGTTCCACGGTGTACGGATTTGCCACTGGCTGGACCAGCTACGCGGCTGATTACACGGTGTACCAGCCCAGGGACCGCAGTCGCCGCAAGATCTTCTTCTCAGCATGGGCCGGTCTTATCGTTCCTCTGATATTCACACAATTCCTCGGAATCGCCATTATGACTGCCACCAGTCTCAATGATGGTGACAACAAGTACCAAGCTGGCTATGCAGCTTCCGGAAACGGAGGTTTGCTCGCTGCTGTCCTCGAGCCTCTTGGTGGATTCGGCAAGTTCTGCCTCGTGATCCTCGCCCTCTCCATTGTCGCCAACAACTGCCCCAACATCTACTCCGTCTCCCTGACCCTCCAAGTTCTGAGTCGTTATACCCAGAGAATTCCTCGTTTCATCTGGGTGTTCCTGGGTTCCTGCGCCTCAGTGGCTATTGCCATTCCCGGATATTCCCATTTCGAGACCATCCTGGAGAACTTCATGAACATCATTGCTTATTGGCTCGCCATTTACTCCGGAATCTCGCTCACTGACCACTTCGTCTTCAAACGGGGCTTTGGAGGATACCGCATCGAGATCTATGACAAGCCCGACAAGCTTCCCCCGGGCATTGCGGCCGCGGTTGCTTTCGGCTTCGGTATCGCCGGTATGGTTACTGGAATGAGCCAGTCGTGGTGGGTCGGACCGATTGCGAAGCATGCGGGTGCGCTACCCAGTGGTGGCGATGTCGGGTTCGAGTTGGCTTTTGCTTTTGCTTCGGTGTCGTATATCTTCTTGAGAACGGCTGAGTTGAAGGTGTTTGGTCGGTGATTGTTCAGTTTGTTTTCTTACGTTTGGGGTACGGGACTGTGAATACGTTCTATTATGTTTATGTCTACTTCGTCGTTCTAAACGGCATCGCCAGTTCCCTTTCGAGATGCATGATTGCATCTTCATGATACCGCGAGTCATGTAAATATTTTTTGTAATCTAGATCGTAATATACTACGTGTATATCTTCAAGACCGTATGAACCCTATAAAGACCACTACCTTTGAATACAGGATTATTGGTAGACTCCTTATACTTCAAGCTCAGACATGAGGTGTTGGCCCTAGAAAGCGCTGATTCCCCGTATCTTGTCATGCCTCAGGCACTGCTGTTCAATCCCAAGCCTACATTGCTAAAGGGGATTTCTGTGCTCATGCCTATGAATGTAAGTATACTTGCGTACACCTAGGTGGAATGATGTTAGTTGCAAATTTATTGTTAGAACGTCAGAACGCTGCTAAGACCTACTCCAAGAGGAAATCACAGCACAACGATGAAAACCCATCTACTATTACTACTGGAGTCCAGTTTATTGCGAGATAAAGCCTATACACGAAAGGTAATTAACAGCATTTCTTCTGGCCATCCTCTCCCCCATCTTTCCACGCACACATACGCACTCTCTTTCAAGTCGCGTTCAGACAGTCTCAGTTGATGTGAGTACAGTACGTGGAATTAACACCAAAGGTAACTAGTATCAGTGATCGGATTCACTTTGACCCTCCACTTCTAAGGAAGAACTTTAGTCCCGAACAGCAACTATTACCTTCTGGACCTGAATGCCCATTCGTTCGAAATAAGCTAGGCCATATCACCAGGACAAATATACCAAAGAAGCAGATTATCCGGCATATTCATGTAGTCTTCTTCTAACATACCAATGGGTGTGGAGGTCGATGACA